ACATCTTGGTCTTCATATAGTCAATTTTAGTTTCCTTAAACCGAACAGATTATTGGTCTAAGTGACGAGATGGTTACTCATGTGGAACGAAAAATCCTGGGAGGGATGTTTCAAACTTTAGCCAAGAGTTAGCGGTAGTTGGGCCGATTGCGAATGGTTGACAGGTAGAGCACCACTGGCAATAAGGCATCGTCGGCAGGCTCTGCTGGCCGTCGGGAATAGGCCATTTTGATTGCAGACAATAGATCAGGCGCCCCATTATCAGCAATGGTGCGGCTTGATAAGAACCGAATGCAATTCTGGGTAAAAGTCAAATGCCTACTTACCTCAGATGAGTGCCACACCGACAATTTAAGATGTGGATCAGGTGCCGTATCCAATCGACTACATGTGGAGCAGACTGATGCCTGCCCAGTTTGCTGCAAGCCCGTGATTTAGGCTGAAATCTCCTGATAACCGCAAAACCTATTAACTATGAATATGAAATACGAGCAATTGGTGCCGATAAATAGCAATCCATGGACAGGATTTTTAAAAATGGATTAAGGACAAAATAGTTTAAAAGAAGAGTAACTGGGTTTCGATGAATTTTCTAAGATATCATTGTTGCGGAGACTTTCAGTTCGTATGAAAGTGCATGAAGAAAATATTCGTAGGTCGATCACACCAGAAGACTGCAGCCATTTGGAGTTAATTCCACTTTCAGGTTGACGCCGTTCACGAGACATCCTCCCTATTTTTGGAGGAAAACAGGCTGAACTTTGTAGTATAGAAGTTGTTTGACCTTGGTTTCGCAACTTGGTCATATTGGTAGGAAGACTTAAAGGAACGCACCTAGTCCGGAGTCCATTGTATGCATCATCATTTCCAATGGTCACATTGGTAGGAAGACTTATTGGAACGCACCTAGTCCGGGGTCCATTGTCTGCATGATCATTTCCAAAGTAAGACCGTGGACGTGGTACATTCCCAGACGTTTCGCCGGCATCGTCAGTGAGTATCTCCATTCTTAGCACCATACCATGGACGTGGTAAATTCTCAGACGTTTCGTCGGCATCGTCAGTGAGTCTCACCATTTGTAGCACCATATTACAACTCGTCAAAGAAATAAATGAAGCCCATCCTTTGACCAAACGTGTGCTAAACTTGTCTCTTTGACGAGTTGTTGTGTGGTGCTAAGAATGGCGATACTCACTGACGATGCCGGCGAAAC